CGCTTCTTCAGACCACTAACACTGACAGCGACACCCTCGCTATCGACTGGCCGGACCATTGGACGCTTAGCGCATTCGTTAGATTCTCCTGCATCTCTCAGACAAACGACGGTGACCTGCGCCTCCTTTGTCCTAGCCTCCCATTACTACTTCCCCTCTCCCGGCGCCTCGACCGAATGTGCGACCCCAATACCCAACCTCTCACCGGACTCCATGTGGTCTCATAACAATCTCCTGGGCAAAAGCGATCCTCAATTATACAAGCGCAGCCGTGCCGCATACGTCAGTTGCCAACAAGCTCTTCTTTCACCGATTGTTTTGAGGGAGGTTGTGTTGGGTGCGACAAGGGAGTGAACCTGTCTGTCTCTCCTCTTTTAACATATTGACGGGTTTCATTTTCGGTTTGTCTCCATCGCCTGTCGAAGGGGCTGTCTTATAACAGAACGAGATGGAGCCCGAGAATCCGAACGCGTACAAGCGAAGCTCGATGCACCAAGCGTTATACAGTCGTCCAGTGGAACGGCGTGCTAGCAAGAAGTCTTCATCTAGGGATCGGCATGGTATGGTCTATCCCGACAGTTTCCGAGAAACTACCATTCGAACTGTGACGCCAGAGTCACAACCCTCTGTCAACAATTCCCCCTCATCCGAACCGGAGCACCTCACGGGCGGCGCTTTGTCTTCACCTCGAAACACCGTGCGATCACGGCCCGTCGAACCAGAACGTCGTCGGGATTTCAACAAACATTCATCTGCAGCAGGCGAAGAAGATTCTCCGCTGGAAGCAAGGAGTCAACGGGCGCGATCACGGACAACAGCGGCTGACGAGCACAGCGACGTCAACCCCAACAAAACTCGAACTCGCGTTGGGTCAATTAACACGGCCAGTCCCTCTCAATCGAAAGTGCCCGACGATCAGTCATCTTCTATCGGGTTTCCGTCAATCGAGTCCCCAAAATACAACAGCCAGACCGTCCCTCGCCATCGACTGAGCAAAGTTGCAGGTCTGGTCGCCGGTGGAGCACAAAATCAAGATTCATTTGGCGCGCCCCTCTCGAGTGCGGAAGGCACCAAGATCCTGCAGCTGATGAAGACCACCTGCGGTAGAATGCATGGCATTCTATCTTTTCGAACAGCCTCGACCACTGCCTGGACATCCGGATACTGCGCTATCAACGTCGCGACTGGAAGTCTCATTTACCAAGCCAAGGGAGAGCCGGCATTGGCCAAAACATTAATTCCTGACCTACGTGGTTGTCGAGTTCGGACATTGTGGGACCCTGAGCTCCAATGCACCTATCTGAGCGTTCACACATTTACCTCTGGGCTTGGGATACAACTACGACCGCACGTGAACGAAACCTTCGATTCTTGGCTTGCAGCTCTACTTTGTTGGCAACCAATTCGGCCCAAGGGCGTTCAGAACAAGATGACAAAGCCTCAAGAGGTTGTGATTGGAGACCGACGGATCCCTGAACGTCGACGCAACTCGGAAACCGCATCACAAAAGGATGCAACTATTATCAAAGTTGGTAAGATGCTTCTATGGGACAAACCGTCTGCTGCCGGTGCAATGCCGTCGTCCGGACGCCGCGTATCTACGTACCGACAATCAAGGGCTCTTTCTTCCTCGTGGCAGAAGGTGAGCTGCACACTACAAGAAAACGGCTTTTTCAAGCTCTACACAGAGTCCGACGTCGCTCTCTTAGCATATGTGCAGTTGTCCCAGTTATCACGCTGTGCTATTCAGCAGCTGAACTCATCGGTGTTGGATGATGAGTTTTGCATTGCCATCTATCCTCAATATACAGCACACCCGGTATCCGATTCCAACGTGCGGCCTATATACCTCGCTCTCGAAAACCGTGTTCTCTTTGAGGTTTGGTTTGTACTTCTCCGTGCATTTACAATCCCAGAGCTCTATGGTCCGGTGTCTAAGGGAGGGGATCGAAAACCAGAAAGCGAGGCAAACGAAGTAGCAGTGACAAAAGACATGTTCCGGATTGAAAGATTCTTGAGCTTGAAAATTGTGGAGGCGAAGCTGTTTCGCCCCATAGAGGAGGACACCCCCCGAAGCCGAAAGGCATCAAGATCACATGGCCAGCCTGTTCCAAGCTCGAAGGTCAGCGACTATTACACGGAGGTACTCCTCGATGGGGAAATTCGTGGCAAGACTGCTGTCAAGTATCGCACCATGAATCCTTTCTGGCGAGAAGATTTTATCTTCACTGATCTACCGCCAGTACTATCCCAAGCCTCTATCCTCGTTAAAACCCTCAACCCGACACAGAGGGACTGGACACTTATCGCGCATGGAACATACGCACCCAACCAAGACGTGAACGCGGTGAACATGCTGGATGAAATTGAAATTTCCGCAAATGATATCGTCTTCGGACGGGTAGACCTGCGACTCGAAGAATTGGATGCCGGCGTGGATATAGAAAAGTGGTGGCCTATCCTGGATAATCAAGATCAGGCAATTGGCGAGATGTTCATGAGAGCACGGATGGAGGAAACTGTCGTCTTGATGTCCGATGAGTACTCGGCAATGTCGGAACTTCTCCACTCCTTCACTAATGGCCTGACAATCAACATGGCACAACTGATGTCATCGGAGCTAAATCACCTGGCCGAGATGCTTCTGAACATTTATCAGGTCTCAGGGTCAACGGTGGAATGGATCTCAGCCTTGGTTGAAGATGAAATCGATGGGGTTCACAAAGAATCCACCACCAACCGGCTGAGGTATACAACGAGGATTCATTCGACCAATCCACAGGAGACTAGTCAAGAGCGCGAGGTCCTTGTCAGAGACATGGGAAGGACGGCCACTGTGGAGGCTAACCTCTTGTTCCGTGGAAACTCGCTTCTAACTAAGGCCCTCGATCTTCACATGCGTCGTTTGGGCAAACAGTACTTGGAGGAGACTGTCGCGGAACGACTACGCGATATTGATGAGAGCGATCCGGAATGCGAAGTTGATCCGTCTCGAATTCCACGCCAGGAGGATCTTGAACGCAACTGGCGAAACCTTACAGCTCTCACCACAAGCGTGTGGAAATCCATTGCGGGATCTGCGTCGAGGTGTCCCCCAGAACTGCGACGCATCTTCCGGCATGTCAGGGCGTGTGCAGACGATCGTTATGGTGACTTCCTCCGGTCCGTGACGTACAGTAGTGTTTCTGGTTTCCTCTTCCTACGCTTCTTCTGCCCGGCTATTCTGAACCCGAAACTGTTCGGGCTTTTGAAAGGTATGGAACTACGCTCGTACCTTGACTTGTCCTTTTGCTAATCATCTCCAGATCACCCTCGTCCTCGTGCACAGCGCACTTTGACCCTCATTGCCAAAGCTTTGCAAGGTCTGGCCAATATGACAACATTCGGCAATAAAGAACCTTGGATGGAACCGATGAACAAATTCCTCGTCGGTCATCGCACGGAATTCAAAGACTTTATTGATTCGGTTTGTGCGATTCCCGCCGATCGACCAGTCCCCATCGTCACACCCTCCTACACCACCCCTATCCAAATCCTTGGGCGGTTGCCCCCCACATCGCGTGAGGGATTCCCTAGCCTTCCATTTCTCATTGACCATGCCCGCTCCTTTGCGAACTTGATACGAGTCTGGCTTGATGTCTCCCCGGAACGACTCAACGAATTGACCGAGCTGGACGTCAGCCTTGCCAAGTTCCAAAAAGAAGCCCTTCGCCTGCGGGCACGCACCGAGGAATGTCTCAAACGAGCCGAGCAAGCAGAACGGCCGAGTGGAAACCTTGAGATCAAATGGGAAGCACTGGTCGATTCGATGGAGCGACCTGTAACCTTCTACGACGAGAGCTTAAGCAAACCCGGCACTCCAGCGCCAGAAACGGCAGCTGGTACCGCCCCAAGCAGCCATCGCAATTCGACTGGCTACTTCCCTACGCGTCCTCCAGCTCGCCACTCCACTGACCAGGTTGCCGATCCCGAGGATGACACTCCTCCAAGCTCGTCATCGGCGACCTGGGATCAAAGCCGCATTCCATTTGCCATCCCACGCTGGTCTGACCCACGTGACAGTACCGGAAGCTCGAAGAACTCCTCGACCTACTCTCTCGAGTACTCTGATTCTGCCAAGGCACGCAGGGCCAGCGTCACGAAAGAGTCCTCCTCCTCCTCGAGCAAGTACCGCTTCTTCGACTTTGTTCCTGCTCCCTCCCGACGCAAGGCCAAGGAACGTGACCAGAATCAAAACAACCACTCGCACGAGGATCTACGCAATGAATCTTAATGCACCAATGCCTGCCCATGCAATCTCCTTTCATTCTTACGTGTTTTTGACTTTGTTCTTTCTCGCCTATCTCTTTCCCATGTGCTTATGATTGCTCATGATTCCAACGTTCCTCTTTTATCCCCATTTTGCCTCGAGTTCCGTTCTGCCTGATCATCTATATGTCTATGTTCTCCTCTAAAGCATGTGTCATGGTGTTGATACCCATTCCTTCTTTTGATTGTGTGTTTCATGGTCCCGCCCTCCCTTATACACGTCTCCTCCAGTCTAGCTCTAAGATAAAAACAAAGAGAGCTAAAAAGAACACGATCTGATTTTGAACTCGGCTGAGGCTCTTGTGTTTTTCTCTTTTTGGTCTCTTTTTGGTCGTTCTGAGGAATCATCTGGGTCTTTTTCTTGTGTGTTCGGATTCCTCTGGAGATGGTGGCCATCGTGTAAATACCTATTACTATTTTTATGTTTTTCCAATAGATGGAATGGCTTGGTGTTCTCATTTTTGTAGTGCTTGTGACTGTTATTAGATAGAAATAGCAGATCAAGGTCTCTGTACATCGGAAAACAATAGCAAGTCTGTCGTCATAACAACACAGCAGGGGATAAACAAAATCCTAGGCAACACGCCTCCTACAACACCTAGTCTTCAAAGGAAGCTCAAAACACAGTAATATAATTAGCAAATAACCTATACAGCCACACGCTGCATAAAGAAGATGAGCGAAGATTCATATCACTTCCACAAGCAGAGCTTGCCACTAGCGGTGCCACCAGCAACCCAGTTCTTGCTACGGTGGAATACAGCCACGGCAGGAACAGCCGTGATCCCATCTCCACCAAGCTGTGCAAGCTGATCCCCATTGCTGCTGTACACGTCGACAAAACGGTTCATGTTGCCGATACAGAAGCGCTGGATGGAAGATTGCGGGTTAGGTTGCCATTGAGGGCGGAGACTAGAAGAACAAAGTTAGGGCTTGATACTTGGCAGAACGAAAAGGGATGCGAAAAAGGAAAGAGAGGGATAAGCATACATAGTAACCCAGCGGCCAGTCTGGCAGTTGTGGCGGACAACTGTGTCTGGCTTAAACTCCTTTGCTGAAAGTGTGTGGCCCTGCTTCCACGAAAAGAGACCCTTTGCGCCCACATCGTATATCTTCAATGTGTCGTCGTAGGACGAGGTGGCAATCTGCCCAGCAGAATTGAAAGCTGCGTGGGAAACAGACAGCCGGCTTTCATCCTCGGCAACAGGAATGGGATCCTCCGGCGACAGCTTGCGCAGATCCCACAGTCTCAGGAATCGATCTAGACTGGCCGTGGCGAAGTAGTTGGGCTGGGTGGGACACAGTGTGAAGCCCCCGATCTTCTTCTCAGAGAGTTCCCAGTTTGACACATTGGTATCTTTCCGCGGCGTTCGTGTATCGTATCGCCCGAATCCACCCTGGAGTGTAGTCCAGTACAATGTGTTAGGGTCATCGGGAGCCATGTCTACTCCGGAGAGTGCCTCGTCAATAGTAGTAGATTCGGGAGCATAGGTCTCTGAAGAGACCATTTTCTCCAAGTCCAGTGATCGAATCGAGCTGTCGTAACTTGCCGTATACAAATGTGTCGGCTTTGAGGGGTTGACCATCATTGCGCTAATGGTCCGAGTATGTGGCTTCAATGTGGTTAGGACTGGATCTGGATCAAAGTCATCCTCGTCGTCGTCTTCGCCCGGGGTAGGCTTTTCCTGCGAAGCATCTAACATGCCCAGATGACCTAGTTTGTCGCCCGCGAATATAAGAGGTTTGGATTCGGATGGGTGAAAGACCATGCTATACACACGCTCCGGGGTGATCTTGATCCCTGTAATGATCGAAAATGTGTCAGAATGGTAGCTTGTGGGTATAGAGAGTATAGTGATTACGTTGAGGGTCCCAAGACTCCCACAATTTCAGCCCATTCATCTCCTCCCGAAGAGCCTTTAGATCTTTGTCCGTCGTCTTCTCAATTTCATCTTCCCCAAAGGTCCTCTCATAGGGCTTTGCAACACCCTTGGTGATAACATCCACGCCGATCAGGCTATCAGGACTAAGCTTCTGCCCAGAAATGAACATATCCGCCTGGCTGAATGAGTCTGTCCGGCGCATCCTCTTGAGTCTATCTGCTTCGCGCATCGCCTCATATTGGTCGTCGGCCTTGCGCTTCGCTACTTCACTCTCGGCCGCAATGCCCTTAAGGCGTGAGGATGTGCGCCGCGGTGTGATAACTTCCTCAGTCTTCACTTTGGGAGCTGCGCGCTTTTTCAGTTTCGCGCCATTGCTGCGGGAGGTCTGAGGGCTTGCGAAGAGTCCCGAGGATTGCGATTCGAGAGTTAGTTTCTTCAACAGCGCATCGCGCTCGGCAATATTTGCTAAGCGCTGCTGTTCGAAGTCCGACAACTCATTTTTCCCCGACATATTCGTTTCGGGAATTTCAGGCGTACCAGGTTCGCGTGCAGTTTACGCCTCTGGGGTGCGAGGCACGTCTTGGAAACGCGTGGGCCAGTTACACGACATCACGTGACTTTGAGGGATCACCGGAGTCCGTGCTCTTTAAAGAAAAAGTGATCTTCTTTTGTTTCTCTTTTTTTGGAGTGAAGTTGCAAAGTTGAAAGGTGAAAGAGAAGAAGTAAGAGTTACTCCAGGTCGGATTTACTCTAAGAAGTGCAATAACAAGGCTGCGCAATTGACGACGCAGTTATGGCGACAAATATCAACCGGCTATGCCTTCTCTCACGAAGCAATTCCACGGCACCTTTCCTATATCAAACACGCACCCTTACACCACTGTCATCCGCGGCTCGGAACCAATTCAATCGTCGTTTTCCGCGCTCTTTTTCTACCCAGAACAATACCGAGGCCAATGCTGCAACAGAAAACAAATCGTTAGCGGAGGATAACACAAGTCAGAATACTTCTGAACAGCCAATTACCACCAGCCCAAAGACCGAGGCAGCTCCGAAACCGCGACGAAGCTATCTGCAGAAACGCGCAGCATCTGTATCTGAAAGGCCTAGCCTCAGACCATCTGTCGTGAAGAAGACAACGAAGATAGCACCGAAGATCACCAGCCAGGAGAAATTGATATTCGGAGGACTCTTAGAGCAGCTTGGATTCAAACACGATGGGGAAACTACCGAGCCGAGCTCATCGACACCAATGAGCGAGGAGAAGAAAGCCGAAATGGCAGAGCTCATGTCGGTGTTTGACAATCTGCTAAAAGACCCAAGACGAAAGAGGGCAGATACGAAAGCCAAGCAGCAGGCGAAGGACGACTACTCCTCTTACCGACGACCAGAGAAGTCAGAAACAGAAGAACAAGTCCCAGCAGAGAACCAAGGTCCAAAGCGAATCAAGCTCCGCGATCTGGGCTACACCGAGCCCGCCACAGCCACCGCCGCCGAAGTAACCGTCAGCCTGCGGCGGGCGATAGAGATCGTCATTCAAGCAGAATCCGAGCACATCGAATTCGCACTTTTCCAAGCCATCGAGGAAGGCAAGGGCGACATGGGCGTGTGGGAGGTCTGCAAAGAGCGCATCTTCTCCATGCTCCGCCACCTGGACGAGAAATCTCTCGTGGAGGCTTCAGACCCGGAGAGTGTGAGCACAGCAGACCAGCCCGAACCACCCACCCGGCCATCAGGACCCCTCCGCGTCCCAGCCGTTGTCCCAGTCGCCCCCGTCGTGGTAGCTCTATACCCGAAGACCCTCCTGATCGCCTTCCGCGTGCTGAACACGCACTTCCGCGAATCCCCGCTCATCCCTCAATTCCGCTCGACGATCAAAGAGTACGGCCGTGTGTCTACTTTCCTCGGTGCTTCGTCTGGATTGTACGATGAGTTGATCCACTACCACTGGCGCGTATGCAAGGATCTTCCCGCTGTGACATCGATCCTGCGCGAGATGAACCAGCTGGGCATCAACCCGAGTAGCAAGTCCCGCGGCATGCTGACTGCACTTATTATTCGCCATGCCCGGGACGTGGAGGCTCATCGGACATCCCCGAGCGAGAAGGATTTCTTCTGGGATATTCCGTCGAACAAGGAGGCTTTCGATGAGCTTACCCGTAAGGATGGCTGGATGGATCAGATCGAGGCGCGTTCGGAGGAAGAGGCGAAGCAACGCGAGGCTGCTCTGACGTTCCGCAGCTAAGCTCTGTTTGTTCCTGAACGGATTGCTTCTAATGTATAGTCTGCAATATCATGTATAAGTAGTATAAGTAGTATCATCAGCGAACCATATCAAACTTTGTTAATACCTCGTTCTTCATTCGACTATCCTATAATTCCAGAGTGATCTATGTACACGAACAATTGCATGCATCCAGCCAAAGAAAGAGCAAAAGCCAACTTAAATGAGCAACAGAAAAGAAAACCTCCACCAGCTCTACAACCCTCCATGAATGCCCCAAAACTTCTCCGCATTAAAAGTATACATATTATCATCCTTCCACAAATCATCAAAAGCCGTAAAAAGCACCAAATCCCCCCTCCTCTGCTCAAAACTCCTCCTCAAACTCTCAACCGCCGCCAACTGATTCTCTTTCGACGGAACCGCGCCCCCATTCGCATCCCCAGCATGCGGCCACCCAGACTCCGTAATCATAGTACGCTTCCCCCCAGCCCCAGCCGAGATACTACGCGCCTGCTCGAGCGCATACGCGCCGGCGCCGGCAGGCTGCTGCGTGGCGTCGAAGAAAGCATGGCAGTTCGCCGCGCAGTAGTCGGACACGCGGCAGAGTTCCGGGTGGTCGAGGTGCACGGAGAAAGTGTCGACTGTGACGACGGGCCCGGTGTACCCCTGTGCGCGAAGTATGGAGCGGGCGGTTTGTACGGCGGCTGCGACGTCGGTGGCGGAGTTGGTGCCGCCGTTTACGAGCTCGTTGCCTACGGCGATTGTGTGGAAGATTGACCAGTCTTTTTTGCCGTTTGGATCTGTTATTGCTTCGCTGAAGGCGTTGAGGCTGGAGGGGAAGTTGGTTAGGTCGTAGACGCCGGCGAAGACTTGCATGTTGTGGCGGCGGGCGGCGGTCGTTACGGTTTTGGTTTGGTCGCAGTCTGTTCCGTAGATGCGGATGAAGGAGTATGAGGAGATTCGGTCTAGGTCTTGGTTTACTTCTTCTTGGTTTTTGCACGTGCGGTCTGCTTTGTAGGGGGAGTAGGATATGCCGAAGTTGGCGTTTGGGTGTTGGTTTTGGTGGGAATGGGGGACGGCTGGTTTGGGGTGCGTGTGTGGGTGGTGTGGTAGATTCTTGGGTTTACCTTTGGCTGGGATGGGGTGGTTGTTGCTGTTCTTGGATAGGGCGTGTGGTGGTGCGCCATTTGTATCCGGGGTTGATATTGAGGGCTGCTTTGATGAGAGAGTTAGGGCTGGCTTTTGATAAGGAACCAACATCTCTTCTCTTCTTCGGGAACAGTTCTATCTACTAACATTCTCTTGGAGCGCAGAGGTCAAGGCCTGGACGTAGTGTGTTTCCGTGCTGATGGTTTCTCCCTTCTCATTGACCCAGACGACTACCTCTTTGGTATAGGCTGGTTGAGCGAGATTTGCACGGGGTTGTTTGTCGGCTATCGCTATCAGCAAAATCCTTTACAGGCATGGATAGTACCGTTCTTACCCCCAGCTTCGGCGCAAACACCACAGGCAAGTAGCAGGCCGACAAGTGACTGAGTAAGGCGCTTCATTTTGCAGCCAGGTTCTCCCGGGGGAGACTGATCTCAACACACTCGAGTGAAGTTAGCTGAACTTAGTCGACGGCTATAACACGAGTGACTTTGCAACCTTCTGGAAACACACACATATGGTGCCGATCGGATCCATTATAACCATGCTGGCGGGCTGGAGCACAGATCGACCTACGTGGACTCAATTGGTAGAGATTGTAAACACAAGGATAGCCAAGCATAGCGCTTAGATCTAGGGAATGGAATCAGAGGGGGGTTCCAGGTTTCAAACATGCCCCTTGGCTTGGTTGAGAAACCCTTCGGCATCTGATTTGCTCGACAAGGAGATCTTGCGTGCGGGGGCATCGTACAAGATCTCGAAGTCGGAGATGAACCATGAATGCTCGCTCCCAATGATGGAGAAGATGGAATGTGGGGCCCATTCTCGGGTGTCGCTTGGACACATTGAGGAATTCGGTGAATAGTCGGCAGAATGCTGGCCTGATATTATTGTAAGACATTAGAAGGGGGTGGCGGAGGAAGGGGCAGTTATATGGTTGGAGTCTGGCCCGGAGATATCAGGCTGCTGGTCTGCTGCTGAGGTTCAGTGGATACTACTATAGCAAGGAGAGCATTAAAAGCAAAGAATCGAAACACAAAGCAATAGCGTCCATTCATGGGACAAAGAGGGTTTTGGTCTGAATAATGTATACAAAATAGACATCCTTGAAGCAAAGAGCCAAGGGCAGAAGGGTAGTATTAAACAACTTAGAACCATGCACAGGTAGAGGATCAACCGCCAACAAAAAGAGAAAATGGTGGGCCTGTGCAGGGGATGCAATAAGAATGTATATCGACAAGGTAACAATACAAGGCATTAGGGCGTAGGTCGACTGAGGAGAATGGTAAATTGATGGAGTCCGTCATATAGGCGTGGGCAGTCATCGAATGACTGGTCAGGACCAGAGCTAAGCGGCGGGGGAGGGCATTACTTCCTCTTGCTCATCACCTTGGTAATGGCATGTCGAATGATCGTTCCTGCCTTTTCGATCTCTTTCTTGGTGAGACCGGTAGTGACGCACACCTTCAGTGCGGGCGGGATAACCTGCTTAGGCTGGAAGTTGTCCTCGAGGGTCTTGAGCCGCGTAATCAGAACGCCGTTGGCCAGACACTGCGAATATTAGAAATGGATTTGAGTCAGAATGGAACAACATGTAGACATACCTCATCGACAACATCTTGAAGCAAGAACTGCTGATCATCTTCTGTGAGACGCTTAGCAGTCACAACCTCCGGCTTGATGACCAAAACCAAGATAGGATTTTCAGGCGCGCTAGTGGAGTAAACCCAGTCGCTCCGGGGATCCAACTGAGCCCGCATAGCCTTGGTGTGTTCACGAAGTTGTGACACTGTCTCAGGGTTGTTCTGGAGGATGTTGATAGTGGCACTGGCGGTAGTCGAGAGAAGAGCGGGAAGCGCAGCGGAGAAGGTATAAGCAGCAGCCGAGATACGCTGGTGGTGAACAATCTCCTCTGAACCAGCACAGAAGCCACCACCAGCAACAAGGGGACCGGCCAGGGAACCCACAATCATATCAACCTCGGCAGCATCGACGTTCTGGTGCTCCGTGATACCACGGCCAGTGCGTCCCAAAACACCGAAGGACCAGGTTTCATCGAGAATCAAACGGAACTTGTACTTGAGTCGGAGTTCGATCTGCAACAGTTGTCAGCATTCCAATTCATAATCTCATGTAACGGGTTCACATACGATCTTGGGCAAGTCCGCCATGTCGCCATAAGACTCAAACAAACCCTCCGTGATAATGAATCGGCGAGTCAGGGGCTTCCGGGCCTGCTCCTTAGTGACCTTCGCGAGTACGCGCTCCAAATCCTCCATGTCATTATGTTCATACCACCGGACCATGCTTCGAGAGATCTGAATACCCTTTCGAATAGCAAAGCTAACCCCTTTATCCGCGATGATAATGTCACCACGCTTCGAGAAGGCCGGAATAACACTAGAAATGGTAGAGAAGGCCTGGGAGTAGATAATGCAAGCCGCAGTCCCCAAAAACGACGCGACATCATCCTCAGTCTTTATGTGAACATCCTGAGTGCCGTAGAAACCACGGGGTCCGCATGGACCCACACCATAAGCACGGAGTGTCTGGATAGCCTGTTCCTTGAGCGACTCATTCGTATTGAAGTTGTAGAAATTGAAGGAACCAAGGTTCATCACAGTGCGACCGTTGGTGAGTTTCGATTTCGGGCCTACAGGGCTACAGAGCCGGATTCCACTTGTCAGTAAAAATATCCGCGGAGTACGTCAGGCAGAAGCAATAGGGGGTACGATACCCAACAATCACGGTTCGCTTGTCAACTTCCATCTCTTCCAGGGCCGTCGGGCTCCCAACCAGGGGCTCTGGGGTCCATTCGTCCACGAGGTCGTCAATCTCGTCTTCCGTGAGTGGTACCACGCCCGGTTTGGTCGAATACTTGGGTGCTAGGAGGTATCGCACGGCGAAGAGGAAAAGGAACAGTTCGACGGCAGAACGAATTGGGTCATCTTGATAGCTGGATTTCACGTAGCGGAGGAAGATTGCGGAGCCAGGCACACGGTGGAATAGATCTGCGAGTTCGTGCAGATATTCGGAAAGGATACGCTGGGTCTCCTGGAGATCCATGGCGGAGGGTTGAGGAGAGCGCGGTTTATGCGTTACGCCAGGCCAGCGAGATACCTGAGATATGATAGGTTAAGAAGAGACGCGAAAGAGTGGTGCTTGCTCGTGGAGAACGGAGGGAAGATGAAACGGGAGACTCGGAGTGTTGGGAACCTCGGTACACGTGACCAGTCTGTTGACCCGTGCATTGCATGTTCTTTGGACATTCTACTGTGAAATTAGGGATTACGAACATAAAAAATAATTTCTTGAAAGCAATGCAATTTAATTCCGGTAGAAGTGTAAAATAAAACAAGCAAAGAAAGCTGGTGAAACGAAGGTAAACCCCCGAGGATGACTTGGAAGACCCCTTCATACAAGCGTCATTCCACAAACAATATTTGGAAGCAACCATTCATTAATATCAAATTGTGCGCCGGTGAGTTCAGAAAAATGCAGCGAATTTTAGTAAACGCATAACTTTGTACAAGGCATTTCCATGTCGTTTCGCCAAGGCGATTAGATGGACCACTTTCCGGTGCCCTCGGAGGCGGCTGGGATGCTGCCTGAGGTGTAGCCCTTGGGGATATTAGAGCCGGTGTACCAGGAGACGGTGTCATTGAGTCCGTGATCAAGTGGTTGCAGAAGACCAATCGAAGACGGCTTGGGGACACCCAGGCTGTCCCAGATGCCGCCGGACAAGATGCTATCCAATTGCTTCGTATTTCGCAGCACAACAGGCGCAATAATAATAATGAGGAAGATGAAGAGCGTGAAGAAGTAGAGAATGGCGAAGCGAACAACGCGTCTCTTGCGAAGCTTGGACTGCTTGAGAGAGTAGATAGGAGGGCGAATTTGAGAGCTAGAAGCAGGCTTCGTTAGTACAGAGTTATTGTGATGTGGAGGTGAGAAGCTACATACCTTGGGCGCAGCCAAAACAGGATGACCGAATGGAAGGTGTCGACATAGGGAATGGCGAGGGCCGGGAGCATGGCAAACAGGAGAACATGGCCAAGGAAGAAATCGTTGGCGAAATAACCAAGTTCAGTGATTTTGCACAGGAACTCACGTCCAGGCTGAGAAAGGGAGTGCCAACCCATGCCGTACCATTTTCCGGTCCACCATGCAATATTGGATTGATCGTTCTTGAATTCACGGGTCAGGGCGAGGGCAATGATCACCTTGTAGAGGAAGCGCTGGAGAGCCATAGCGGCGATCATGCCAGAGATGGTTCGGGGCCAGCTGAGGGATTCCAGGAAGAACATGGCCAAGAAGATGATGAGGAAGATAATCACAGCGATGGCATGGGCGATAGCAGCGAGGACAGCACCGAACTTCTTGCAACACATGCCAAACAATGGGCCCATACAGCAAGCCATGCCGAAGAACATACCCGCGACGCCGGCATTGATACCGACGGGAGCGAAAGCAATAATCGCAAGGCGAATGATGGGATTCGCAGCCCACTTGGGATCATCAGAGTACATTGTCCGCGAGTTGATGTATAGGTACGGGATTCCTGTCGCGAGAACACCAAGCAGAGGCGTAACGATTTCGGCGAAGAAAATGTTGGTGATTCGCGCCCTAGGAATATCACCGGAGCCTTTCTCCGATGGAACACCAAGCACTTTCCGCTTGTAACCAGTGATACGAGTACGCGAAAGGCGACAGAACCCGATCCAAGAGGAAGCATGGGATCGGGAGTTACCGCGAGAAAGCCAGCGGATGTAGTCGCGGTAGTCGATGAAGAAGTCGGTCCAGGCAAACTGGTGGGGGTTGAACAGGAAAGGCGAAATACTCAGCGCGAGTAGGGACACCCAGAACCAGATCAGAGCGGGAGTCCAGACCGTTGTGGTACTGAACAACAGCATCAGCAGGAGGCGAGCGCCCAGGTAAATTGAAGGCCCGGCGAATCGTGAGTAGAGGACACCGAATGGGATACGAGCCGTTGCGAAACCACGGCCGGTACCAATGTATCGCGCACCACCGAAAGACAAGTTGGCGTGCACAGCGTTGGCGTAGATCTGACAGACGAACACCTCGAACATGAACGAGAACGAACCGAAATGCTTGCCCAAACGAGTAGCCATTCGCCACACTCCTCTCTCCGTCAGCTCTTGGACTGCAAGAGGAACCCATGAGATGAAGAACACAATGAAAATAGAGATAACACAGCGGTTCACCCAGTTGAGGATTGGAATCAGGTTAGCGCAGAGAGTAGGCACAAGAGGATCGGTAATAGGCAGGTCGGAGTTGTAACGGCACATGATGGTCTCATGCTTCAGGGCGCCAAGGTTGATCAGGACAAACATGAACATTTGCACGGACAACATAATGAACATGTTGTTCAGATGGAAACCAGGGTGAGCATAGTAGAATGAGAGGAAGCGATCGAGGGGCAGCTGGGTACCGAGATAGTAGTACTCTCGGGACAGCATCTGTTCACCCATACCAGTACCAATCTTCGTGGTGAAGTTGAGAACGGATCCGAAACCAAGATCACGACCCTTACCACACTGATAATATTCACAATGCTTGATGCGACCTCCGCGAAGAACGGCAGTCATACCAGCGTAAATATCCTCGTTCAAGTGCAATCCTTTCTGGGCTTTGGAAACACCTCCACGAGTGGTCATGAAAGTAGCGTTCAAGAAATCAGGATGACCATAATGGAGCTTACCACCGATTTGAGCCAGTGTACGAGCGAAGAGGGTACCGAACGTTTGTTCCTTGGAGGCGGCAACATCACCGAGGACACCGACGCTCTCGGAGAAAATGTATTCACGGGCTCCCAAAATGGCGAC